GGGGAGGGGGGGGGCACTAAGTAATTATTTTTTCTTTTTCTGAAAAGAGGCAGTAGGCTAATTGAGTTTTGTAACCTATGTATAACTCAAGAGCAAAAAAAAGCAGGAGCCATCTGGAGCTCCGAGCGCAAAAAGGAGGGGCCGCAGGCCAGGCTGGAAGGCACTGAAAGCGGACGGGGAGTCCCTGGAAGAAAGGAGGGTGAGGGTCCTAGAATCCCGGGGGGCCTCCAGCTCCTGTCCCAGAGTGGGGCACGGGGATGGTCCCCGCACACAGGTCCTTCCTGGCTGGTGTGCTGATCGAGGTCCCCTCCCTAGGACCCAAACACACAAAGCTGTCACACACCTTTGCCTCCACCCCTAACCATGGGCTGCACTCCCTGGAGAAGTCTCACCTCCCACACCTCTGACCAACTCCCCGCCATCCTTTGAGACTCCCAGGTGTGTCGGGGTGGGGTGGGTACAGAACAGGTCTCTCTCACCTCCTGGCAGGGGTGAGGCCACTGCACCTGTGGACCATCAAGACAGAGCCGGAACCCAGGTGATGGTGCCATCTGGTGCCTTCTCCCCCATGGCCCAGTGCAAGCATCCCTGCCTCTGGGATCCTCTGCAGAGAAGAGCCACCTCAAGTCTACTGGGCACAGATTAGGAGCTAGACACGACCCTAACGAGCCTCCATGCTCTTAGCTTCTTTCATCTCCAGACACCCCTTTACAGGCGTGTTGGCTTAGTGGTGAAGTACTGATCTGTGAATCTGAAAGTCCGAGGTTCAAACCCACTAGCCACTCCATGGGGGAAAAGATGTGGCGTCTGCTTCCCTACAGATTTCCAGCCGTGGAACCTCTGTGAGGCAGTCCAACTCTGTCATGCAGGGTCACATGCGATGAGGCTAAAGCACCTTAACAACAATGGTTTGGGGTGTTGTTATTTACTGTCACTAACTCTAAGGAGCCCTGGAGTGGTTACCAACTGGGCTATGATCCACAAGGTCAGAAGTTCGAAACCACCAACCAGGGCCAGGGGGGCACAGCTAAGTGAGGGAAGGTGTAAAAGGTCAGAGTAGGCAGGTTCCTGGTGCTACAGGTCTATTGGAGGGGATGGAGTTAGCTGTAGACAAGATGATCTGTGAGAACAGAAAATACTGAACCCCATCATGAACCCCCAATCTCTCCAAGGAAGAAAAAGGCAAGGCTTCTGAAGGCCAGGGCTCCCAGGTCCCAGACAAAGGCAGGCAGTGCTTCCTCTCGGACCCATCCAGCCGTGGGCCCACTCCACGGTCAGCCTGGCTACTCCCAGGCCCATCCCTGTGCCAGCTACAGGAAACATAAAAGGCCCGTCCACGAGCACCTCGGCCCAGGCTGCCCACTGGGAAGGCCAGAGCCATGATTTGGAGCTATTCTTAGCAAACCACTGGCTCCCATCCCAGAGCCTGGCAGGCGTAGGCCTGTACTTCCACATGCCCTGCCTCAAGTCACACAGGGATGAGAAGGGGCTGGTGGGCAAGGGGTGGGGGGAGTAAGCCGTCAGCCTTTATGAGAGAGGTCCCCTGGTTTGTCTAGCCTCCCCCAGTTTGGCCAGTCTTCAAAGCATACAGTGCTTGTGCTTCTGTCCAGGCCTCGGCATAGGGCCATGTACCTGGCTACAGAAGCAGCTCTGGGAGGTCTGGCCACTGGGGAAGGGCCCCCCGCCCCCCCCCTAACCAGAGCCACACCCACCCCCTTGTGCGCACCCCCCACCCCCCAGCTGAGGGCTGGGCCTGGGGCTCTTTTGACCCACCATCAAACCATGAGGTTAGGTGTCTCCACCCTTCATTTCAGAGATAGGGAACAGAAAGGAAGCCTCTCCTGGACGGTTACAGGGCGTTAGCTGCATCCAGCTGCATCCCAAAGGCCTGCATCCAGCTGCATCCCAAAGTCTGGGCTGGGCAGAGGGAGCGAGAAGGTGGGGAGTCCTTTGTCATCCAAACCCAGGGCTAAGGAGAGAAGTTCACAGCAGAAAGCAGGCACGCATTCCTACTCTTCCCCACCCCCAGAGCTTTGCCCAGCCCGCCAAAGACCCTTCAACTTGGGTTCAAAGGAGAGTCAAGTTCCTCTTCTACCCCACACCAAAGAAAACCAAAAACCCAAACCCACTTCCATCCAGCCGCTGCGGACTCACAGAGGCGCTATAGGACAGGGCGCTGCTCCGGGGAACTTCCGAGACCACCACTCGTTCTCTCTCCCTTGAAGAGAGAGAACCTTGGAGAGAGAGAAACCCTGGTGGTTTCCAACTGCTGACCTTGCCAGCAGCAGGCCAATCTGTCACCGCTGTGCCACCAAGGCTCAGTTGGAGGGCACTATCTCACCAGACCCCCTCACTTCAGGAGTCCTTTAGAGACCCAGGGAAGACTAGAATCAAACATGCAAGGAGCTCAGTTGGTGTAAAAGGCATTTGCACCCAACTACTTTCAGGTACCGGGCTCTCTCCTCCCATAAACTGCTACCGTCTCAGGAACCCACTGGGGGTGGCTATGAGTCAGCACTGACTCAAGGGCGGTGAGTTTTGAGACTTTCAGTTAAGTACTGAGCTGCCTGCTAACTACAAGGTCGGCAGTTTGAATCCCCCAGCTGCTCCTCAGGAGAAAAATAAGGCTCTCTCCTTCTGGAAAGAGTTACAGCCTCCGAAACCCTAGGCTGGGTCACTATGAGTCAGAATGGACTCGTGGTTCCAACCCACTGAGTAGCACCATGGAAGGCAGCCTTCCGTAAGACTAGAAAAAAGCAAACAAAAACAAGCAGTTGCCATCAAGCAGACGATGTCAGCCATTAAATACCCAAGGGAGTATGCACAGCTCCACTCTAAACACCTGAGGCCACTAGGTGTCAGCATCATAGCAACAAGGCTTGAGTTTGAACTTAGAAGGCTCAGAGTATAACAGAGGATGCTCACCTCCCATCGTCAAAGCGGGAGTTTCAGACACCAGGCCACACCACAGGTACCACCATCACTCCCCACAGAACAGCTTCCAGAGTAAATGAGCAACGGAGGGTCAGATGTGATCTCAGTCCACGCCTCTGCCCATGTCCTTGGCCTCTGCTGCCACAGGACTCGGACACGTCTGTGTCTGTGCCCCAGGTGTCCGTGCCAATGTGCCCACAGGCGCCTGCCCCCTGCACGTGATACACTAGGCTGCTAACCCCAAGGTCAGCAGTTGGAAACCACTGACTGCTCCCCAGGAGAAAGATGAGGCTTTCTACTCTTGTAAAGAGTGAGTCTCAGCAACCCACAGGAGCAGTTCTAGCTCGGCCTACTGGGTTGCTGTGAGTCAGAATTAACTCGACAGAATTGAGCTTTGAACGCATGTCTGTCTGTCCCTGGGATCCCGCCTGTGTCCCTGCATGCCCACAAGCATCAACCACCTTCACCTGAGTGCCACCTGTCTGGAGAACACCCAAGCTCTCGCAGAGCCATTCGGCTGCAGGCTAGCTCAGCAACTCCCAATGTTGACCCAGAGCAGTGCCCAAGGCCACAGGCATGAGCACACTGCCACCTCCGCAGAGTTCCAGAAAAGCGGAAC